AGACAGGAAAACAATGGTGTGATACCTGCTAATGCAATAAATGGTTAAGTTTCTGGTGACGTTACGCATATGAACTTTTTTTTATTTTCTCTCCAACGCCGCTATACTGTATTAATAAGTTACACAATACAGGACTACCGCACACCATATACTCTACACAGCACACCAGAACTAAAATCGAATTTGTACATGACATTTGGACAATAAATAAGAAAAGAAGTAGGAAGTCAGAGAGTCGGCAGTTCAATTCTAAGGCCAACCAACACACACTGGGTACCTCGCCACACGCCACCTGTAGTTCAACACGACGCAGAATACCACCAAAAGTATCAGCAGGGAAGCTGTGAGTAGGAGGCGTTCCAGCGAGCAAAGGCGACGTCCTTGCGGAGGCGGTACGGCACCTCTATAGCCGATGAAGAACCAAAGGTCAAGCCTGTGGAGCACAATCACATCGGTTACCCACACCCACGATAACTTTGTTTTTGTGTCCCATTTATCTCCTTCTCTCAAAATGTTGACCCTGGCTGAGATTTTGTTTCAGCGCCACAAAGTAACGACAAAGTAAACACATGTGCGCTCGTGTACGACCAAGAACGGTGAAAATTCTTCCTAGTTGTCTAAGGCTCATCGAAACGATTCAAGGACGCCCCATGCATTGTTTTCCTATCCCGTCCTAGAAGCCTTCCGATGGCCCTTTGGATATCAAGGAGCAGCTTTCACCGTGAGGGCAGAGGGGGTGGGGGGAGAGAGAGAGATGAGTCGTGCAGAGACACAGGAACACCCAGGACTCTTGTTCCTGTCGATGAGCAAAGGAGGAAAAGAGGCAGGGCGTGGGCCGCCCCGAGAGAGGAAGGGGTAGTGTGGCGGTGTACGGCTACCGTCCCCGCCCCCGGGGAGGCCCCGCCGGGCCCCGGGCGCGCTAGATATGGAGGTGGAGGTAAGCGGCTTTGGGTCCAGACGGTATCGGCCGGATAAATAATGGCAGGCGCCATTAAGTCTGTACTCACCGTGGCTGGTGCCCCGGAGGTCGGCCTCGCAGTACTTGTGGTTGCGCAGCGCCAGGTACGAGTCGCGGCAGTCGGGGCCCGTCGCCAGGGCGAAGTCGTGGAACTGCAGGCGCAGCGCGCAGCGGCCTGGACAGGCAGAGGAATCGGAATGCGTGCGCGTCAGGGCGCGATCCACTTACTACGTGTTCACGATAAGAACAAGCTCCCTTTGTTTGTTTTTTTCGGGAATTGGGGAAAACTTTCAGGAATTCCCGTAGTTGGAGAGTAACTCCTCAGATTTTGAGGAATAAGCCTCTCCTCAAAAAAAATTTGGGGGATTTACCTCATTTCTTGGGAGTATTTCCTCCAAAATCTGCGGGGAATAATTTTCCTCAGACAAGTTAGGTTTAAAACTCGTTTGTCCCGCGCTGTCCCGCTATCCAGCAGCAGTCCGTGGGCGTTGCCAATTAACGGACGGGGCGCAAGCGGCTGGTCCCCGCCCGGCCCGCCGCCCGGCCTCCTCGCTGCTAACGCACGCTTATTAAACCACAACAACGCGGCCCGTGCAGCGCGCGCCGCGCTTCGGGATTAGTGGCGAATCCCCCCAGGGATTGTCCTGCTGCTCGCCCGGCCTCCCGCCGCGGCCGAGGCGGCGGCTCGTCCTACGGACCACGACGACGCCACGCATGAATCCCTCCGGTCGGGGCGGGGTGCTTCCCCTCACCCCCAACTAAGAGGACGGAGGAGGGAAGAGTCTCCAAGTCTCCAAGTCTCCACGCAGACCCGCGGACCTACCTGGAGCACTTTGAGAATTACCTACAGCTATACTTCCTGTACAATACAGCTTTACTTTGAAATAACAATATCATATTGTTATTCCAGTGCTTTCACCCCACAATATACAATGAAAATTTCACAATCATCTACTGGTTAATAATTGACAGCTCCAGACTGTTGTCAAATTGTAGGTTTTTCTTGCAGTGAGGTATAGGTGCAAGAGCAACCTGCTCCCTCCCACACAGCTTGCGAACTACTCCACCTGAGTTTCGGACGCTGCTCCGGTGGGTTTCGGTTCGCTTTCCCTCGGACTCGCCTCTCTCCTGCTTATAAAGATTATTAGCATATGGGAAAGAGGGCGAGCCGAACCTCCCAGTAACCGAACCGGAGCGTTCACAAGCCGATCTTTTCTGTTTTCTTGATTTTTTGTGATTTTCTGTTGAATTTTTGTAAATTTTTGTGAATTTTTGTGGTTTTTTGTGATTATTTGTGTGTTTTTTCTAACTCTTCGTTAATTTTTTAAGATTTTTTTTGTGATTTTTTTCATGATTTTTTCGTGATTTTTTCAAAGGGTGTACACTGATTTTTCTGAGCGAAGGACCCCTCGGGTAGCCCCTCACTCACACCCAGCTGCGGCGAGCGCCCACCGGGTAGGCACCCCAGCGCTCGGCCGCGCACGCCTGCACGCCGGCCGGCCTACCCCACCCACGACAGGCGCTATAGCCCGGCACGGCGGTGGTGGTGGGGAGGACGGAGGGGCTGCAGTTTCACGGCCGGCGCGGCGTCGGAGCCGGGCCACATAAACAGTTTACCGCCGAGCCTGCCGCGGAGCCGTACCACTGACGGTGACGGGAGCGGGGAATGTCGTTATTGAGATGTAAGAAGTGGGTTAGGCAGACTCCTCTGGGAATGGAGATGGAGATGACGCGGGGCAGCGTGAGAGCGAAGGGAAAGGGAAGGCATGGCGATGGAATAAAAAGTCCCGTTATAAAATAGGATCATGAAGCAGATGATACATCATAATTTGAGGTCAGTTGACACTGGATCGAATTTGCACCGATGACCAAACTCGCTGTCTAAGAGTACACGTTAGCCGTTAGCCAACACATTTAACCATTCTTTGATATTCTTCAGTATACTAGTTTAGAAATAAAGACAACACAATCGTCTGGATAATCATATAGTATCAAGAGCGCGAAATGTGGTATGATATGGTTTCGTTCACTGAGTCTTGACACAATACATAATTAGAGATAACAACGCTCAACTTACGGTATGCACAAAGTATGGTCGGCCGATCTGAGAAACGTATTCAAAAAGTTATGAGAATACTTTCCTGCTTCTTCTATAGACAGTCTGCCGCACTCGAACTGTTGTTCTTATTCTTCGGCTGCTCCGCGTCGCGCTGTGCGGGTGGAGTTGGAGCGAGGAGGCAGGGTAGGGGGGGGGGGTTGCGCTGGCGGAGCAAAAAGAATGGCATACCTGTCGCCTTTTCCCGTCATTACCCCCCCCCCCCCCCTATTCCCATCGCCACCCCTACCATCATCGGCCGCTACTGAGGCTGAAAGCTGATAGGCGGGGCCGGGGGCCGCACCGCACCGCACCGCACCGCACCGGAGCGAGCGCTTGTCCCTTCTTTCAGTTGTGTGCGACGCGAGGGTAAACGTGGGCGTCCAGGGGGAGGAGGAGGAGGGGAGGCTACACCGGCACCCCGCGCTAAGCACATGCGGGGATGCAGGCTGGAATGTTCCACTCCACTCACCACACTGACATGCAGGGCAGGCAGCAGGGTGGTGCCCCCCTCTCTCTTTCTCTCTCACTCTTCCTATGGAAACATATGACTCTCTCGCTCAGAAACACACGTAAGGCAAAACCTGACATTTAACGGCTTTGCTCTGCTCGCACTTTTAAATACCGCGCGCGCACACACACACTTACGCACGCACACAGCCTCCAAACGGGGACGCACCTAGGGGGTGTGTCTTTTTGTGTCGAGCACTACGTCGTTAGCGCCGAGCAACAGGAGGGCCGGGACGACTCCCTCCGCTGGCCACGGCGGGGCGGGGCGCGGGGAGGAGCAGGACGGGACGGGGCAGGTGCCTTCTTAAAGCGGTGTGGTTGGGGTTGGGGTTAGGCGTACCGGCCGCCAGCCCAGGCCAGGGCCTGCGCCAGGTGGATTGACTTTTTCTGTTTTTTCCGCCCGCGTCCTCCAGCAGCAATCAAGCAGCCCGCCGCCACCTCGCTGCCGCTCGTCCCCGCAGCAGCGTCTCCGGCTCCAAACGGACCGCAACAAAGCAAGCGGCAACAGCTTTTCACAGCTCCGTGTCAGTCAGAGAGGCCTCTCTCTCTCTGGCCTTTTTTTTTTCTGCCGCTCTCATCTGGCTTCCCTCCTGGCGCGCTCGCGTGTCGGTTTGACGCGGCAGGCGCGACAAGCCGCTCGCCGCTCGCACCTCGCCGTTACACACACGTTGAGTGGGAGAGGCGCTCTGTTTGCACAACGTTCCATCAAGCCGGTTGCAAAAAGGAAAAAAAAATCAAAAGGACGGAAGGGGTGAAAGAGAGGGGGGGGGAGGGGCGACGAGCAAGACATCACAAAGCTGTACGGTGATGAACATATACGCGGTCTGTTACAAAATTTGGTCACGCTTGGGAGGGTTTCCGCAGCCCTCGTAGATATCTGCTCCGATGCGCAGCGTTCACACAGGTCAGTACGGTTGTGACCACAATGTAGCCCCCCCCCCCCCTGCTTTGATCTACCTACGTCCACCACGAGGAAAATGTGCAGTTCATGGTGAGATTGGGGTAAACGGTGCAGGAAGAGGTGAAGGAGGACTTTCTAGGCCTGCGGATATCGAAATATCGAGGTTGCTCGATACCACGATATATCGCGATGTAAGTATCGGCCATTCCAGTCCATATTGTTTCTCGATATGTCTCGATACAGGGTGGCCGCTCTGCCCCGTCATTTTGAAAATGTAGACTAGCCCGCTTGCAGACGGAGAGGGGAGGTGAGAGGGGACTGGAGACGTCGTGCGGGCGGGCTAGTCTACCTCTTTTAAAAAGACGGGGCAGAGCGGCCACCCTGTATGTGGTTCAAATAATTAATTCCGATACTATCGACATCATCAAGACTCGATCCGATGTTCGATACTTTGGTCGATATATTGAGCCGCGATATCGAAAGTGAAAAATTGCACAGCCGTATAGCGACGGGTCATCGGGGCGGCGGTCATCGGCGACCCCCGGCGCGCCAAACAACGAGCACGCCGTCAACCACGACGACCAACCCGCCCCCACCCCACGCAAAGGAAAGTAACCACACTGTCTCACCCACTCGCCCTCGCCGAGTAAAGCGGCGGCAGTCTCTGTCGCGCCGGGCCGCACCAGGGCAGTGAGAGTGACTGGGTTAGGCAAACAGCGACTCGAGCAAGTTTACCTGGGCGGTGGTGGGCGGGCTGTTGGGTCCCGGCTACTTCCCGGTCCCCCCC